TTTCAATTTCATCCATATAGCTATTCACCCACCGAGCATTATTTTAAATGCTCCTTCCATGGATGTCCCTTCACCACAACCACCCTCAAGTTGCACAAAGAACATAAGAAACGACACGTTTTGAAAGGCAGCCGGAAGTGTTTGTATTGCTCGTTCAGCAGCAATAAGCAAAGCGCCTTAACGTGGCACCTGTTGCACCATGTTGAAGCGCAAAACACAAAGTACGTACAATAAAATACCGTAGATTATTGCAAAAAAACACGAACAATTTGCAGACCGTCAAATGTAGCGAAGGAAGAGGACGTGGCTGCAGCATTTTATTGCGCTTTTCCATGGTGCTCTTTCAGTACCAATAATCACCGTTTATTAAAAAGGCATCAGGCCAAGCACAGTCCGTCTAGCTTGAAATGTCGATATTGTTCATTTAAGTGCAAAAAGGCCAATGTGCTGAAGGCTCATTTGAAGCAGCACGAAGACGTCAACAACTCAACCCCGGAGCATGTTACGGGAGAGCATTTTACTGAAGTTAAAAATGAGAAAATCCTGGAAATCACTCAGGGAAAAGGAGATTTTTTAACGCAGTTTTTGAAATACGACAAATGGTCCATGTAAGTATTCGCAGATCGAAGTAGGAATTTTCTCGCGCTAACTTTGTTCAAATTTTCAGGAGAATTTACCTGCAGTGCCCAAAGTGCCCCTTTAAGAAGAGATGTAGTCAGAAGAACATGTTTTTGGGGCACCTTCAAAAACACAGTGCGACTGCACTTGGCACAAAGTGTTCATTTTGTACATACAAGACAACTGTTAAAGGGGTAAACGTTCAGCCGCTTTACTCCACCCGCACACTCACACAATAACATTCTAGATTAAAATCCATGAATTAATTCATTTGGACCGGAAAATCAGGCTGAAGAAGGATTGGTGCAGCACGATCAAATCAAGGCTGTTACTTCAGCATCTGAAAGCGCAGAAAAAGGGATCCTCATCCAACAATGAAGAGAGCAATGAAAACTCGGATCACGCGGAAAGTTCCAACGATATTAATTCACTCGAGGGCTGCGAACAACGTTCTGCTGCTCTAAGTCCGACGAATAGTGCACAAAATGGAAACATACAGCCGGCTAATATAAGGTAACGGAAACTTTTATCACGGGGTCTCCGACCTGAACCTTTTTTGTAGATTTGCGCAGTCAAATTTGGTTGAGACTAGTGTAGACAATGGAGCAACCACTGCTCAGGACAGTACAAGTATTCAAATTACTACCAGCGGTTCAGAGCTGAGCGGCAGAAATGGCGCAAAATCGCCTGCAACACCAAACGCGCCGGATGATCAGGACAGCAATAATCAAAGTATTACCATCACCATTACAACTTCGGAAGCTTGCAACAATGCAGACTTAATTAAACAAGCCCTGGTAAGCGAGATCTTAAAGAAGTTCGACTCAGGCAAATCCTCAGTGGACTTGTCCTGCAACAATGCAGTTGATGCCGCGGAAGAGTTTGCCGAAACAGTCGAGGTCAGCGACAACCTCATTGAAGCTTCGCCCGTTCATAACGAGAGTCTGTTTTCCAACGAATTCGAAATGTTTACGGATTTCACTCAGGACGTTCAATCCGAATCCAAAGGCTTTATGGACTTTAATAGCCCCAGCAGTTCAGAGGAGAATTGCCTGGAGGAACTAATCTCAAATGATTGTCATTCGCTTTTCGAAGTATCGACTGGGGCTGATCAGATCTCCAATTTGGATGTCGATGGTTGGGGTGTAGATGGTTTCTCCCAAACTGTTCAAAGTTCAATTGATCCACCTAAGGCATCTAGAAAGTCGACGACGAAAGCCGCTGATTGCTCCAAGTAAGTTCTTTCAACCAGTTTGTTGCTGGTGATGTAAGTTACGTTTTTCAGGACGTCGAAAGGGACGCATGAGGATAATGAAGTAATCATTGTAATTGATAGCGATGAGGAAAACCAGAGTGAGAACAATCAAAGACACGTAGTGAAACCTAAAAGAAAACTAGTTGAAAGCCGTGTTCAGCCCCAGAAAAAGGACACCACCAACACCAACGCTGAGATTTACGCGTGCAATCATTGTCCATCAAAGTTTTTGATTAAATCGCAATTAGCCATCCACAATATGCTGCATATTGCGCGTGCAGGGTTGAGATGTCCGCTCTGTTCGTACACGAATAACAAAACCAGTCTACTTAAACATTTGATGTGCCATGTCGTAAGCGACGAAGGGCTTTTCAAGTGTCCCCTTTGCGATACCACGAAACGTAACATCGAATATATGAACGACCATTTCAAGGTGGTACATTCTGGACATATTTTCCAACCACATGAAGATGTGTGTAGGAGAAGGTTTTGTAGCGGATGTTGCGGAAAATTGCTGGTAAGGCAACTTTTGTTTGTGCCTCCGTCTTGATCTTTTGCTGCCTCGATCTGATCGATCTCTGGCAAGAGCGTACCTACAATCTTATTAACGAAATATGAAGGTTGGATTGTTGTCCTTTTCCATTGTATATTATTCAAATCGTTGATTTCATGTTTTTTTTTCAGCTTAACAATACAGGTTTGAAGGCGAAATACAGGTTTATATAAAGAAAATGTATGTTAATTAAAGTATGAATTGCAATCGGTTTTTTATTTTAGGATATCTGCCAGCTGCAGTATTTTGTGCGGTCATCGCAAATTGCGTTATTTTAAAAATATTTTTCGTTATGGGGCGGTTCTTGTAAATCGTGCCACGCCTTTGATGCCAATAAGGAAGACGAGATGCGCAATAACCCAAAACATTGTTTACAGAATGAATGTCGTGCCTGCCAAATCATAAAAATTACTCAGGGGCAAATTATCCGTTTTTTTTCTTAAACCGCTGTGTTTATTGCAACGAAAAATGTCCGGAAATAATCAGTGCTATCTAGTGAACTTAGCCACCAAAGAGCGCATACTTTTACCCGACCAAACCCCAGTAATCCTAGGCCGCAACCCAGATTCGAATATTAAGGATCTAAAGGTGTCCCGAAAGCAAATCGCATGCATTGCGAAGCTTGGAGAGAGTCAAGTGGCTTTAAAGCCTGTTGGGAAGACTGTGTGCGGCTGCAATGGGCTGGCTTTGGCCCGAAATGTTATCTACACAATTGGCCACAAGGACATAATCGAAGTGCACTTGGGAGACCACAAGTTTGAGGTGAATTTCGATATTCCCCCGGCTAAAAGTGGAAGCGGTCCGGAAATTGAGGAGCCCAAGGCGAAAAAGCCTAAACTGGACTTCCCAGTTTTCAACACGAAAGCGCCCAAAACCAGTGGACTGACTAATGGGGGCACTTGGGAGGACGTGGATAACAAACAGTTAATAGTTTTTACCCCTGCAGCTTGCCAAGGCAGAACCAAAATCGCTGGGTTCGATATTGACGGGACCGTTATTAAGCCCAAGTCAGGATCAAGGTTTCCCAAAAACGCTGAAGACTGGATTTGGAACTACAGCGAAATTCCCAGGCATTTAAGGAAACTATACGACGAACAGTACAAAGTGGTTTTTTTCACCAATCAGTCTGGAGTCGGTCGAGATCCTGCCAAAATTGCGGAGTTTAAGAAGAAAATCTCGAACATCGTCAACGACCTTAAAGTGCCAGTACAAGTGTTTATCTCACTGGGCAAGAAAATGTACAGAAAACCTCGAACGGGAATGTGGGACGCGTTGGAAAAGAACAAGAATAATGGAGTGGAAATTGATGTTGGGGAATCGTTTTACGTGGGCGATGCAGCTGGACGGGAGAAAAATTGGGCGCCAAAAAGAAACAAGGATCATTCTACCGCTGATAGGCTTTTTGCAATGAATATAGGTACATATTCTGTTCAATTTTCTCAACGACTAGATTTTGGCATCATGTATTTTTTCAGGACTGAAGTTTTACACCCCCGAAGAGTTCTTCTTGAAGCAAAAGCCCTCCCCATATAAACTGCCGGACTTCGATCCAAGAGCTGACATCAGCCACCTAAAGCTCCCGGATTTATCCTACGACAAGCTCAATGTGATTGTAATGGTAGGCGGGCCTGGTTCAGGAAAAACCTCATTCGTCAAGGATTCGCTTCTTCCAAACGGCTACATTCATGTGAACAGAGACAAACTGGGCACCTGGCAAAAGTGCGTCAAAACTATGGAGGAGAGCCTGGAAAAGAAATCGAACGTAGTCATCGATAATACCAACGTTGATAAAGCCACCAGGGCCAGATTTATTGAGGCTGCCAAGAAGTTTGGGGCCGACATCAGGTGCTTTGTGATGGAAACTTCTCTGGACCAAATGAGGCACAACAATAAATTCCGGGAGATGACCGATAAAAATCACGCGGTAGTAAGCGATATCATTATTTTCAGTTACCGAAAAAATTTCCAGGAACCCGAAATCAGTGAGGGTTATTCGCAACTGTTGAAAATCCCATGCATTCCCAAGTTTACCGATAACGCGCTCGAGAAACTGTACAAAACGTTTTTATTGGAGTAAAAGTTGGTGGGCACAATTGCAAAAGGCTGGCAACTAATTTTCGTGGGCAACTATTGGAGTACATACAGTGCGAGTTTAATTATCTACCGCTTTGCCTTCGAGGAACTTATATATCACAGAAAAGTCCTTTTTGCCCAACCCATAAGTGATCATTGTGCGAAATAGTTGATGGGACATCGCAGCCAAGGGAACAGGTGCACTGATGCTTAGAGCTGCATCGCCCGCCAATCCTAAAAGAAAATCCCTGTAAAAATCAACTAAATACAAAGGAAATTTCCTACCCAAGTCTTTGGCGATCAGTTCCACTGAAAATCCCCCATCGTAGTTCTTAGCTGAGGGAACGTTTTCCATTACTCCAGGTACAGGATTGTAGGTGTCTGAAGACCAGGATCTTCCAGTGGAGATGTTTACGACGTCCGAAAGGAGTTTGGGGTCTAATCCTAGTTTCACTCCCAAATTCATTGCTTCCGCTGTTCCGATCATTGTAACACCTGGGGAAGTTTTGGTTAATTAGCTATTGAAATAATTAACACAGTCAATTTTTAGTACTTGCCCAAAATCAAATTGTTGCACAGTTTCGTTATTTGGCCAGCGCCAGAATCGCCGCAAAATAGAACCTTCGCTCCCATATGCAACAGCACTGGTTCCACTTCTTTGCAGTCTCCTTCGTCGCCTCCTACCATAAAGCACAGCGTTCCTGCTTGTGCTCCTACGACTCCTCCCGATACTGGAGCGTCTAAAAAACGAACGCTGGATTCTTTTGCCGCTTGATAAAGCTCTCTGGCCACCTATTAATAAGCGAGTTACATGATTTTTCCTAAAATAGTGTTCCTAAAATGCTAATATTAAATGGCAAGCTCGAGTCACTCGACTTAAACGATTTGAAAATATCGAAAAATTCACTGTTGATTAAAGGGTTTACTACCTGTGGCCCCGTGGTTGACGAATCTAGTAATAGAGAATTTTTGCCGATTTTCTTCAGTATTCCCTTTTCACCAATCACGGTGTCTTTAACTATTTGGCCGTTGGGCAACATGGTGATAATGATGTTCGCACCATCGACTGCTTCTTCTGCAGATGAGCACGGAATCGCTCCTAGAAAATTACGCTTTAAATAACTCCTATAATAATAAGTAGTAGAACCACTTTTTTAGGGTGAAATTGTCACCTTTTATGCTGCTCACTGCTGATGGCACCACATCGTAGACTCTGGGCTGTTTTCCGTGCTTAATGAGATTGTTTACCATTCTGGTGCCCATTTGTCCCAGGCCAATGAAAGCGACATTGCTGTTGGGCCTACCTAAGAAAACACATTTTTTTCGCTTAAACGAGAAAAAGGGAATTCAAAAACCGAAGATAACTCGATAAATAATGCACGGGTCAGTGCACGCACGTAATAAGCAGAATGATGTAACGCTTCTTGCATGGACATTGATAACTTTGAGCAGTTCCAGATAAAGTTCATATACCCTGTTTTCGTTACTGAGCCTTGGAAAGTTGGCTTCTGAACCCCCCAAATTAAACGGGGTATTTTAAGTTCTTAATAATGAATAGGTATTTAATGACATGAAAAGAAATGTGTTTTTAATATGGATATCTCGATCTTGAACCATTAGTTGAACTATTGCTAATTTGGCCTGCGCCTGAATAAACCAGCTGTGATCCAAAGCCCAGCAACAGTAAAGGTTCAAAGTATACAAATTTGAAATTGAAAAATATGTTAAAGCGTTTTAGATAGTGAAATAAGCCCTTTTAGTGATTAAAGAGATAGTACTTAAGAACTTACTATGGACGTTTTTGTCGATTTTTACCAGACATTTCAGTGTATTTTTGAACATATTTCCCTTAAAAAGAAAATTGTGGGAATTACAATCCTGCTGTTAACTTGCAAAATTCGCTACTGCCAGAACAGTGAAGCCAAACAAACGGAATCACACAAACAACTGGCTCGTTCACAATTTGGATCTCATTTATCAAGTAGTTGACCTTATACTACCTAAGTGTTGTTTTCAATTATAGCGCGGAAATGGATTGGTAATAATTAATCTGAGATGGTTATTTCAATACGTTTTGGGCTGTAAAAGCACCAAACAGAAACGTTTTCTTCGGAATGAACGAAAAAGATTGGGGAAGTGAAAAAACACAATTACATTCTACTTTATTGCTAACCACTGAAGCATCTAAACGCCCTGAATGATGGCAAAATATTTTGGAACAAACGGTTTAAAACTACTCCTAGATTGTTAGCCTAAATGTTCTTATGATTACTTTTTGGTTTTGCAATCGAAAATTTGCCTAAATATACCAGAACTGGTGACACACATCGTAATTTATTATATTTGTCTTTCTGTTATCAGCAATTATTGTGAAACTTACAGCGTAATTCATGTTGGCACTAAAAATAATTAACGCAATATAAATCAAAATAGTATTTCATTTTTAAATATTTTTACAAACATCTACCTACATTCGTTGGAAGTTGAGATTCTGAGACTATTTTCAAGCGAAAGTCCATGTGGTTTCAGTGATTAAGAGCGAATTAACGAAATGATGAAACACTATATTCTACATTTATTTAATATCTAGAACAGAACAATAGCCACATTTATATGTATGCTATTCAAAGACAGTTTAAATGGGAAATTCCTAATTAAACATATTGCGGTTCAAGCATGCGATATATCGCCAGCAATATTTGAACATCTTTACAATCCGTCTTATTATTGTTAAATGAATTATTTAAATGTTGCAACTAACTGTGTGCTTAATGGAACTAATCCATTTATACACAGTCGACAGATAGAGTCTGGATTGGATCTGGTATTGTTCTGGGGTTTAACAAAAATTGTAATTTTAAAAGCAAGCTAATTTTGCCTTCATAAACGCTCAAAAAACGCTTAAAATGTGCCAAAAATGTCTATTATATCGGATCTGAAACTTCTACCATGTTTTTCAAGGAGTTCGATGCATTTCTCGTTTCCGTGAGCTGAAAATGATGTGCAATTTAAGATATTTTGAGACAATTTTAATTTTTTCAAAAAATCGACCTCCGCAATTTCACATGCGTGTTTTTTGAGCTCAATCGAATCCTTTCAACGTAAGAAGGTCACAAATATGAATTTATAAAGTGTTTTGGCCAATAATAAGGAAGAAATCGTCGGCTAAAGGTCGTGAACGCTCAAAAAACGCTTAAAATGTACCAAAAATGTCTATTATTTCGGATCTGAAACTTCTACCATGTTTTTCAATGAGTTCGATGCATTCCTCGCGTCGCTGAGATGAAAATGATGTAAAATTTAAGACATTTTGAGAAAATTTTTATTTTTTCAAAAAATCGACCTCCACCCTTGGAAAAATTTCGACCAAAAATCAAACTTTTACATGCACATTTTTTGAGCTCAATCGATTCCTTTCGACATAAGAAGATGACAAATATGCATTTATAAAGTGTTTGGGTCAATAATAAGGACGAAATCGTCGGTTAAAGATCGTAACCGCTCAAAAAAACGCTTAAATTTTGACGAAAATGTATATTATTTCGGATATGAAACTTCTACCATCTTTTTCAATGAGTTCGATGCGCTCCTTGCTTCCGTGAGCTGAAAATGATGTTTTTATTTTATATTTAATTTAAGACATTTTGAGAAAATTTTAATTTTCCCAAAAAATCGACCTACACCCTTGGAAAAATTTCGGCGAAAAATCAAAATTTCACATGCGTGTTTTTTGAGCTCAATCGAATCCTTTCGACGTAAGAAGGTCAGAAATATGCATTTATAAAGTGTTTGGGTCAATAATAAGGAAGAAATCGTCGGCTAAAGATCGTAAACGCTCAAAAAACGATTAAAATGTGCTGAAAATGTCTATTATTTTGGATCTGAAACTTTTACCATGTTTTTAATGAGTTCGATTCCTCGCTTCCGTGAGCTGAAAAATGATGTAAAATTTGAGACATTTTGAGAAAATTTAATTTTTTTCAAAAAATCGACTTCCACCATTGGAAAAATTTGAGTCACAAATCAAAATTTGCAAAATTACACTACCTAATTGCATGAAAAATCAGTCGGCGCAGAAGGCCAAAAAACGAACTTAAATGGTCCTTGCATACAGAAAGGAACAAAAATCTTTCGGTCATAATTTATGGCGGACCCAGCAGCTTCGAAATTATGCAAATATAATCAGAAAAATTGCAGATTTACCCACAAAAAATTAAACCTACGAAGCGAAAGCCACCCAATTCAATAGGCCACTTTTCACGCATAACTAGTGAAAGATAAATAAATACTTTTTCATTTGCCTGTACAAATCCAGCCCCACTTTAAAGGTGCTAAATGATAAGGTGTGACGTCATGAACTTAGTATACTTATGAGTGCGTCTCGACGTGTCATATATAGGTAGGTGTTCCTCCCGCTTAGAAGGCAGGTGAAAATTCGTTAAAAAAATCAGTTTTCCTACGTGCCTCAAATCTAGATGCGCCCCATCAGCTGCAGAATTCAAGGAAATCCCCATTGTTATGTAGGTACGTACCAGTAAGTTCATTTTTCTATAATTATCGACTGCAGGCCATTTAAAGGCTGCAGGTATAGATAACGTGGTCCGTTATCAATAGCTCGTGTTATATGGAAGTGCTTGAAAATAGCGCAATTTCCCAATTAGATGATTAGGACGGGAGCAAGGATTTTTCGCGTTGCAAGATCTTCGAATCTAATCAATGTTTTTCGTAAGTTAATTGCACTGAATCCCATTTATAATGAATAAATATCAGGAAAAACAGTAAAGTGTTTCAAAGGAGTGAGTAATATCGGGTTAACTCATGTATGAGGCAGCTCCAAGGCCAACCAATGAGAACTCTTTACTAGCGTGATAGATATTGAAACAATTTTAAGGTCTAATCTTGTGTTATTGTATTTATGATGTGGCCAATCAAACAGGCTTAATCTATGTCAATTAATAAATATTAAAAGATGCTGATAAGCCTGTAAATCAGCAAATATCCAAAGATTCTTCATCAGGAATTTTAAATTACGAGCGCCTGGGTTTAATCCGAAAACTGAAAATTCTAGAAATCTGTGCAGCCTCAGTTGGTTGAAACTTTCCATATTTTTTATTTATTTTTTTATCAGCCCTTTATCAGCCAAAAATCTGAAAATTTCTTTTTTTTGTCCAAAATTTTAATTTTGGGAGAAGGAAGCCAAAAATTTAGAACTCTTTGTGGCTGAAAATTTCAAAAGATTAACAACTCAATAAGCAACCATAATTGAAACTTTCTCCACTGTAAATCTAGTGAATTTTCTACGATTATACAAAATTTCAGTCAAACATCTGCGAAATCTTGGAAAATCTGAAGTTTTAAACGTAGAGCCGTACAAGCGGGGAGAATTATTTCTTAACCGAAAATTTATGAAAATTCAAAGAACGTTTCAAACTGATACTGGAAGCCTAATACGTGACAGGAGATTTTTGTCCAAAATTTAAATTTTGGGAGAGAGAAACCAAAAATGTAGAACTTTTTGTGCCCAAAAGATTAAAAACTCAATAAGCAATAATAATTGAAACTTTCTCCCCTGTACATCTAGTGAACTTTCTACGATTATACAAAATTTCAGTCAAAAATCTGCGAAATCTTGGAAAATATGAAGTTTTAATAGGCTGTACAAGCGGCAAAAATTATTTATTAACAGGAAAAAATAGTAAAAACCTAATGAACATTAGGCTATTGAAAACCTAAAACGTGAGAAAATATTTTCGGTCAAAAATTTCGATTTTGGGAGAGAAACCGAAATTTTGAACTTTGTGTGTCCGAAAGCTTCAAAAGGTTAAAAACCCAATGATTCCCTGATTCCTTCTCCCAAAATTTTAATTTTGGGAGAAGGAAGCCAAAAATTTAGAACTCTTTGTGGCTGAAAATTTCAAAAGATTAACAACTCAATAAGCAATCATAATTGAAACTTTCTCCACTGTAAATCTAGTGAATTTTCTACGATTATCCAAAATTTCAGTCAAAAATCTGCAAAAAAAATTAATCTTAAATAAATCTTTAAAATCTTGCACTTTGATTTAGAATACGGTTTTGAATGAATTTAACTTAAAACATTTGCAAAAATTATCCAAAAGGAAGATACATTTTCTAACTAAACGAAAACAATCAAATTTTCTAATCGCCTTGAAACCCTTAATAACGCGACCATTTAACCAGCTGATAAGAAAATCTCGCATAAATCGACCCAGTTTAGCCGTACCTAATTTCTTGCTCAAAATCCAAGATTACCTACTGGTAAGTTAAGTGTTCACCTTCCACCTAATTCCCAATCGATCATAAAATGGAGATTGATTTGCTACTTGCCCAACGAATCGACTGATTTAAATTTCCGTCCCAAATCGGGGCTTTAAGCTTTGAACAAATAACCGTTCAACTCCATGCTGAAAAAAAATCGAAAGTTTCACCCAAACATAACAAATGCGCATTTACGGACATAATATATACAAGTCAACTAATCGACCATCATGGTTTTGCCATAAAATACACATTTATTTAATGGGAAATGTTCCAAACAATGTCTCCGTGCACGTTTCACGACTTCCAGAAAATCATCTTGGACGATTGAAAATAAATACAGAAATAGCTTGATTAGTGCCACAAAAATTTGAAAATGGAAACCGGGTTTGAGTAATTTCGTTTTATATACGCATATGGCTGTTATTTACTTTTTCTGTCTTGGGATTAAGACAATTCCACTGAACTAGAACATTTTTCTTTATCGCGCGAATTACAAATACAGATAAAATGGAGTCGCATTATGGGTACCTACAAATGAACCGTAGATACACTGGCAAGTATGTGTATGCAAGGTGTATATGTACAAACACATATCCACCTGTTTATAGTGGAATTAACACGTTTCACATAGGTGCAAGGCACCGTTTGCGTCTCCCAGACTCAAGTCTACAGTTACTTAAGCTGGTAAGTCGGATGCTTATTGTTTCACTAATTTGTCTTTGATTGGTAAGCGGTAATCCCCATTCGAAACCAAGCTGCAGTAGAATTAAATTAAGTTTATTGTCGGTCAAAGTGCACAATTTTTGCGCTTGAAATTGATTAAGGGATTATGTGTTTACCTACTCTAGATTCTACGCAAGAATTATCCCTAGCACAATTTGAGCAAATTTATATTCATTAATTGGCGGCACAAATTTTTATCTATTCCACCGGTGGATCCAAATTAATGAATTAGGGGATATAATAAATACTATTTGCATAATATCGTGGCAAAAGGCAATCATTTATTCGATTGAAAGTATCTTATCAGCGACAATATAAGCCCCATATCAATAAAGTACAAATGGCACTCTATATTGCCATTGAGAAAAAGAGGGATTTGATTGCGTTTATCGCAGTAAAAACTACATCAAACGACTGAGTTCAACCCCGACAAACTCTAACTAATCGAATCAAATCACTGATATTATTTGGGGCAATAATAAGCGATTTTTTGTGCTTGATTCAGCGCGACTGTTCTATTCTCGGGCAAAACCAGATCTCTGAACAAGATGCTAATGATAGACGCAAACAAGACAAATCAACAGGCGAAAAAAGAAACTCTCCTCGCTCATCGAAACTACCTACTGATTGTCCAAAGAATTAGTGTCACAAGTAAGCAGAGAATGGACTTGAAAATTGTCCATCGGCATTCTGAAATTGAATCCTCCAAGCGAAAATGTTCATTGTTCGGCTACGTGTACAGTTTTAACCATGTTTTACAACGTCTTTATAAGCCCCCCTAATTAGTTTATTGCGCCATTGTTTTTCCAAGGATATAAATTCGAAAAAGTGACGCTCCGGGATTTTTGATCAAACAGAACTATCTCTGGTAAATATTACGCCATTTTCCATCAGACTGGCACCATGAAACTGTTGACTGGGAACAGACCCGTTTATCTAAATCTCGTAAATCTCTTAATGTAACGAGATTGTAATTATATGGGAATTTGCTCGAAATTCTAGCCGATTACCTGTAGTATTTGCCATACATTTATACATTAAATGCTGATATTTACTGTATTTTGTACGTCCACAATCGCTTCGTTCGCACGCTACAAGGTGTTGAAGATTCTGGATCTTATTTTTTGCAGTCTACCAGTTTAGTTCTAATGGTTGGGTTTCTTCAGTTACGTTCAAATTTTAGATTTTTAACGCTGGTTCTTCATATGTGCAAATTTAGTTGAATTTTTGCCTTGCTTTCGTGCTTTCGTCGGCTTTTTCTTTGGTGTTGCTCTCTTTGGCAATATTTATAAAATCAACAAGCAAAATTCCATTCGTTTTTGACACACCAGGTGGATTATAAGGACAAAAACCGAACTTTCTGAAGGAGGAAGCAAATATGAGCCAAAGGCTAAAAGCGGTTTTGGAAAGCTTGCATTTTAGCGTTTGCGCGAAAACTGGAAAAAATCCTCAATCGGTGTTTCATGTAAAAAACGAGCGCATTTTAAAGCTCTATTCCGAAAAGGCACATAGAGTCTTGTCGCTCAACCGGTTCTCTGAATATGATCCAAAATCTAAAAGCGGTTTTCAAAATCTGCATTAACTTTGCATTTTCGCGCTTTGCTCAAAAACCAGAAAAAATCCTAAATCGATGTTTTACATAAGAAAAGTGCGCATTTTAAGGCTCCATGCAGGAATGATAAATAGAATCATGTAGCTCAACCGGTTCTCTAAATATCATCTAAAACCTAAAAGCTGTTTTCAAAATATGCGCTAATATTGCGCGCGAGGAACATATTCTGATAAACTTCTCACTTAATTTTTATTGAATAAATCTGGGCTTTATACACCGATAGCGTACATTTTCTTATACACCCTTTCTACACGATTTCTTGTAATTTCAGGGCATTTTTGAGCAAACCCTCCACACTCTAGAGGCTGGACTGTGCTGAAGTTGGCAAAGAAGGCAACGGACTGGGGAAGAGAAGGAATATTAAAAATTTGAAAATAAAGAGAGCTATCCGTCGACAGTCTATATTTTACACTGTCATGGAGTTGCTCTCTTTATGGACGAATTTATTTCCATCGCTGCATTGGGGGTCTTTTGGTGAAATCGCGCTCTGGTTACAATTTAAACTAAAAATCCTTTACATGTACTTATCAAACAAAATCGACCAGAACGGTGCATTTGAGGTAAATAAAACATTAATTCTTCGTTTTCAATAGTTTTTCTATTCATTCTTGTATC